TTGTAATTTTTTTGATTCGGATTCGGCACCAAATTTATCTGGTCCTTTCTTTTTAAGGGATTACCTTTATTAATTAACCGCTGGCTTGTCGAGTTCTGATAGTTTTTTTTTCCTAACGATAGAAGTTTAAAATGTTTGAAAAATAAGATACTTTTCGAGCTTATTAAAGTCGAAATTAGAAGTAAATCAATCGTAGAGCTAGAAAACTTTTAGGGGACGAAAACAATTCAGTTTTATTATTTTTTTCAGTTTTAAAATCGGTACTTTCCGGAGCCCTTTTTTTGGCCAATGCAAAAAATATTTGTTTCGGAATCTTCAGAAATTCCAATCGGCATGACAAAATCGTAATTAGAAGATGTGTAATAGAAAGCCTCTCGGCGAAAAAAACAAAAAAATATTCTTTTTCTTCTGTTTTATATTTGATTTATATGACTTAGATTCGTCGCAATGGATTTCGATACAAGAGAAGTCATCATCGAGACGCTTATCCAGAAAAAAAGGCTACTCGACGATCTGCTCCAAAAATCAATCGGGTATGTAAAACCTGTAAACGTTCTACTTTCTCTTATGCCAATTATGAATACAATATTCCTATTTGATAAATTAAAAAACGTCCCCTAAAGTTATTAAAAGATTTTGTGTTTAGTGCGTGGCCATCGCAATCCAGCGATTCGTACACCAGTCGTTGATGTGGTATGTTTTCTGTTATTCTATTATTCCATTAACTATAAATTAAAAATATTCGAAAAATCGATGTGAAAGTGTATAAATAACCATATAATAACTTAATATTTGTGTTTAGCATTCCTCGCTGAAAGTAATCCTACTGCGACTGAAACATCAAGTGGATTCCGCGGCAACTCTCGCAGATGAAGCTCAATTGGGTAATTTTTGAATATATTTTAGAATGTTTGTAAATTTTTTTATTTTGATTACGGACGTTTTATGTTTTTTTATAGGAGTCCCAGCAAATGTAGCAGAACAAGCCGTGTTGTCACGGACGGACGAAGTACTTCGTGCATTGAACGATGCGATCTCTCCTTCATCGTCGATCGACTGCTACCGAAACCGACTGAATGTATTATTTATATGTTATTTCATCTGTTCATTTATGTTGATTATGAATTCTGATAAACTTTGTATGACGTAATAATGTTGTTTCTCATTACATTTACAGCTTCGTCAATCAGGAACTAGAGCAGTTTGCTGACCACAATTCCTACTTCTTTTTCTTTAATTCCTTCACTCGGCAAAGTATCTCTCATGAAGATTCCTCTAAAGTAGCATTTTTTTATTCACCGTTCTAGCGCAATATTTCGACCATCTCGACCACTGGATTTCGACCACATTTTTAGGGTAGCGCATTTCGACCCTTTCCCCATTTTTGAAAATTGTTGAAAATGACACATTTTTGATGAGCAAAGGTTAGAAATCAATGAAAATAAGTCTTAAAATGGCTTAAAATGTGTAAAAATGAGAGTGGTCGAAAAGGTGCGCTAGAACGGCAAAATACATATTATTGACAAAAGATCGAGTATGATGGGATTTGACAATAGAGGAAGGGAGACTCTCAGAACCATCCTGAAGGAGTTTTTGGATGAATATAAGTCACGTCAAATCGAAAAAGAGGTTCAATTCAAGACATCTTTAGGGACTCTTGTAGGTTTCCTTAAGGGACTACTTATCTTCTTCCCATAGGGGGAACTAAAATTTGCAAAGAAGGTCTTCAAGTGTTTTAGTTAGTGACAACTTTAGAGGGCTAGCGGTTTCTACACTTTTTCGATACCACTATAGGGCCCACTCAACTTTTAGAAGATTCTTGGAACTTGAACTACTGTAGGGGTCACCTAAAGCTTGGCTTTATATTCTCGGCGTTTTTGTTAGTGAAAGAAAATGCGAAACCAAAAACACGGTGGGCGGAGCCAAAATATCCGCCGTTCCTCAGTGACGTCATGGGAATGTGATTTCGGCTCCAGGAGCGTAAATAACAGGGCTTATTAAAGGCGCAGGCGGGCCGTATTGCCAGAGGTCTTAGGACGAATCGAAATTTCTATACGAAAAAGCAATTTTCTGCGCGAAAGCGGCGCAGTGCATGCACACGATACACTACACTTTACGGAGAGAAAGTGGGCGTGGCGCCGTGTATTGTCTACCATGACCGTTTTTTTTTCAAGTATATTCTTGAAAATCTTCAGATGAGCGCGCTTCAAAAATGTGAGGAAGAAGTTGACTCGGCCGAAAATTTCATGGTTTTTATTAGAAGGTCATTTTTGGAAGTTTCAAGATGGTTTTAGAAAATGGCCGAAAACCTCTGTTCGGAATATAAGGAAGCTCAGGATTATCTGAATCTCGGCAAAAGACGATTCGACCAGTTGATCTATCAGAAACAGAAAGCGTCTCTGAAAGAAATCAAGGTTTTTTGAATGACAAAATAATTATTGGATGATTTTCAGGATAATATGACAAACTTGATGGGAGTTGTGAAGAAAATGGAGACCGATTTTTCTGCTGAGAACGTCGAAAATGTACGGTATTTGCATGAGGCTGTTCTTTGTGAAAAAAATACGAAAATGTGGGTCTCAAAGCGAAGTTTGCACCGAAGAGTACGGTATTTCTTGCAGAAATGAAACCGAGGGGAAAGTCCAAACAGCCTCAAAAAGAAGAATCTAGAGATTTCGGAATGCCTGAAAATTTGACAGAAGTTCCTCGGAACATTTTTTTCCCGCCTTTTTCTTTTTTTCTCGTGATGGGGTCAAGAAAAAAAATATATCCCGTGAGGCCTTTTAAAATCCCTTTTCCCAAAAGTTCCTTTTTAAGTCCTTCTAGAAAGCGCCCAGAAAAATAACCTCCATGAAAATGTTGCCCCCAGAGAAACTGAGTTTTGCAAGAAAAAAATGAATTCTTAGAAATCATGAAAAAAATGTATCTTCATCAATTTCAGGCCCCGAACAATTTGAGCGACGATTCCATGTGGCTTTCTTTGGAATCGTCCTTCCAACATCTCAAGAAAAAGGGCCAGAAACGGCTTTTTCTATGCAGGAAATGAAACGAAACTTCCCTTGAGTTCATTTTTTTCCCCCATCGAAAAATAGTTTTTTCCCCAGAAGTACAACTTCTTATGTTCTTTTTCGTCTTTTTGTTGATATTTTGATGGTTTCTACTTTTTACGGACTCACTTATTTTTCTCGTTTTTCGCACGAAATGTACTTTTTCTTATGTTATTTTTCATCAACTCACTTATTTGTTTCTTTTTACGCTACTAAAAATTTCCTCCATATCGTTATTTTGCTCGGAAAATATATATTTATTTGTTCTGTTTCGAAGATTTTTTTCTTGTGCTTCTTGATTTGGTTTGATACCAAAATTACCTTTTTTTCCTTTTTTTTTAAGAGATTTAAAAATATTAATTAACTTCTGGCTGTCGAGTTCTGCAAGTTTTTTTGTCTTGCGATAGAAGTCTCGAATGTTTAAAAAAAGTAGAAAAAGAGGTATGTTTATAGGTATGTTTATTTCTTGAATATTTGATCGAAAGATTTGGTTAGTTTTAAATTTCTAAGAAATTTTTTTTTGTTAAATTTTTCGCGTCAAAAGTCGATCCCAATTGGATTTTTAGGTGATCGACACGAATAAGTTTGTTTTAGGAACCCTCCAAGGCTTGAAATATGACGAACGATATTTC